ATTACCATAATCTTCATCAACTTGTCAAGATAATACAGGGCCCAGTGAGTTCAGAGAAGGCTTCCCATAATTCAGAGAAATTTAAAGTTCGTATATGTAGAAAGTTTGTGAGCTACAGAAAAATGAGATGTGCATGCAGAACTATATAGAAAGGGCTTTAGAAAAGATTCTCTTTTGAAAAGGGTGGAGTTTGAACTCAGTGTGGAGAGAGAACAAAGGTTCATCCTCTGAAATGGGGTGGGTTAAAGAGTGAACAAAATGCATACCAGCAAGTCTAAGACATAAAGCTGGAGAAAGAGTGGGTGAAGATCAGCTTGGAGATGATAATCAAAGTTGGAAAGAAAGGAACCATAGTTCTTGAGCCTGCTTTTGGCAAATCCCACTCTGTATTTGTTATGGGCATACAAATCTAGGTTTTGAGGGGGGCAAGTTACGTATCATCATTGACATGTGCCTACCAGACATGTTTAGTGATCCAGCAAGGTTTATAATTGCTTCTTCAAGCCTTTCTGGTGTGCCACAATTTTTAGCCTACTGCACACTGATTTCCTACCAAATTATTATGTTCCATCAATGTCCCACTAAATTAACCTCAGATGGCTGATAGCACCATGTCTAAGTCTCAACCAGTACAGCTATGAGCTAATGAATCAAGCCTTTGAAAGCAAGATATACTCTCCCTTTAAATTATGTTAGAAGTAGCAGGGGACTCTAAGTTCTTCTAGTTCAACTCCCTGTCCCTTCATGTGCTCATCTATTTAATAAATATTCATTGAGGACCTGCTCTATGCCAGACTAGGCCTCTGCTCTCAAGACTTTACAATGCAGTTGAGAGAAGCAGGCATTGAATATAAACTAATAATTTATTTTGAGTGTGGTGTTAAGAAGGAAATGAGCATGGTGGCATGATAGAGTTACCATAGAAAGGAGAGAGGGAGAGCCATTTTAGATGGAACAGGAAAACAGCCTAAAAAGACTCTTTGAGGAGTGACTTTGAGCTGAAATTTGGATAAAGACATGAACATGCATGAAGAAGGAGAGAAGATAGTAGATGTTACAGGCAAAGAGAATATGTATAAAAGCACTGAGGGGAGAGTAACAATGATTTATTTGACAAAAGCAGGCAGTGAGAATGAAATCTACTAATAACATTAAAGAAACTCATCAGGGCCATGGAAGTATAAATAAGTAAGTAAGTTGGGAGGTGAAATGGTGTCACAGATAAATGCCGTGCATGCTGAACCGGATAGAGGATCCTAGGAATAGTACCATTTGAGTGTCAGAGAGAGCGGTGAAATAAAGAAGGTCTCAAACTCGAATGATATCAGGGCCCAGAGAAGTGAAGCAAGCCTACCTAAGAGACAGAATCGTGGGAACTCAATTGACCTACAGAACGAGTGGCATGCCTAACAGTATTCAGACTCATTAAAAATACTTTGCAGACAAAAATAAAACACATCATAAAAAAATATTTTGTCGGCAATAATAAAATACATATGAGAAGGCAAGCAAAGCCCATGAACCATGAATATGCAAAGCTGAGCTGGAGAAAAAGCACGGAGTATGTTGGGAATGAGAAAAATCAATAGAATGGGGTCTTGTAAAAGTCAAGAATGAATTATATCTTGTATTTCTATGAACTAAACAACAAAAAAAAAGAATACGTTTTCTTAGACAATAACCTCAATGCTATAATATTAATAACAAAAAGCACTATTTGTTATAGAACTTGCTTGACCTAAAAAATGGAGGTAAAGATCAAATGGGCCAGATCTGTAAAAACAGATGTGCAGAAAACCACGTGATCCAGGAAATTCATACGTGCAGATCCTCCTGAAGAATCACCACCATGAACTCTCTGCCTGAATGGATCCAGGGATGAGAAGCTCACCTTGTCAAAAGGCACTCTGAACTGTTCAGAAGTTTTTCTCAATTTGACCTATTGTTATGTGGTGCTAAAACTTGCTTTCTTATAGCTGGATATTTCCAGATATGTTCTCTGGGAACACCTAGAAAATATTTAATAGCTTTTTTGCCTGTCATCACTTCAAGTATTTAGAAACTTACTCTGTCTCTACCTTCCTTCTACAAATCTTCCCCTCTCCTATATAAACATCTTCACCATCAACTACTCCTAAACCTCTGCTTCTAGAACCTACCATCCCAAACAACTTTCTGTGAATCTTCTCTTGTATGATTATCCTTCCCAAAGAGAATGCAACACTCCTAGCTGACATAGACTAGGGCTTCTTTAGGGTATGGTTTTCTATGACTGTGTTGGTGGGAATACAATTGCATTTATTGAACTCAATCTCCTACTTGCCCTGTTTCCCACCCATCACCCTCCAAGGCAATCTGTTTGTTGCATGTCATGAAGAGATGCATAATCCACAGTGAGTGATTTCATCAGTATAAAGAATGCCATCCCTCATCACCCTATTGTTTCTGATTAAGATCACTCAGTCTAATATACATTACATCTTGTACCTATAATGCTTGAGCAATGCTTCATGCTTCCCATGCCTCTTTCTAGACAGTGCCTTATTATGTACTCAAACTAGAGGAGCACTTTTGTACAAAGAGGAAGATTAAACTGAGAATGAGTGGTTAAAAGCAGAGAGAAAATTGGAAATACAGATCTAAGAGAGTGTGCTGGATGAGAACACCCAATGACCTGGCTTTAAATCCAGGCAATCCATTTATCTACTGTTGTTACCTTTTTAAAAACAAAATTAATCACAATTACAAGATCAGTAACTACTATGTGCTTAATAAGATTTCAGGTACACTATGTCATATAATATACATGACAGTCTTTAGGAGTGGTATATACTATTATTTCCATTTTAAAGACAAGAGAATTAAAACCTAGAAGTGACTTGCCCAATATCAAACAGTAGGTGGCATTGGGAATTGAACCTGATTCTGCTTCAATCTATTTATAGTATTATACCATAATCTCCATTAGTGGATACTATCTACTACATTAATTGCAAAACATAACTCTTATGGTAATTACTTCTCCTGAATTCCTCCTCCAAATAGGTGGAATATAGGCATATGTGTTCCCTTATTTATGGGGCTAGAGGTGTCATCAGAGCATGCAAACAAGAACAAAAGAATATGAATGGAGAGAAAGGCCATTCACTAATCACAACATTGTCTATCATGTCTTGAACTGGACTGAAATGTATCTATGTAGCTTCTGTCACTAGCATATTTGGAAAATAAACAAGATTTCAAGGTGACCATTCAGCCAAAGAAAACACTGTTTTCAAGCACTTTTAATACCACTCTAGCAGTGTTCACTTATATATAAATCAGGTGCTAATTTATTCATTAAAATAGCCTGTCCTTGGCAACACTTTATTAACTTTAGTTTATGTTAATAAGATTAGTACTTGTATTTTTAAATGCATCTCTTTATAATTAGCCCATAATTCTGATTTTCTTCCAACACAGACTAATCCCTTATCAACTCCCAACCTATATTCTATATCCAGTGAAATGAGTTCAAATAATATCATTATAAAATGGGTTTGGAAAGCCCAGATTTGGCAGAGAGCCTATTCCCATGCCTGGTAATGCATCAGAATCTCCTGGTTGTTTTTTTTTTAAATATACACTTATATATAATAACTGATTCCTACTTGCCTCTGTCATCTACTGGAATAATTTCTAGGCATGGAACTTCCTAGGAACTGAGATTTTCAGCAACTGATTCACAAACTAGCACTTAAATACCAGTGACTAGATGGTTTCCACCCTACATAAGTCCACTACAGTTCTTAGAAAACACAGAAGCATGAGTTAGTGAGGCATATCCTAAAGGAAGAATAACTAGTCATCTCAAATGATCCAGATGGTCTCAGAAAAGTTTCTGATAAATTTCATTATTAAATGCTGACCTGTCATTCTTTATTTCCAGGGTTTGAGTAGTCATTTTAATTACTAAAAAGAAACCCAATAGAGAAAAGTACAGACTCTAGGTGACTCCATGAGACCAGGTAAAGAAAATAATATGGGGGGAGGGTGGTAGAGTCACATAATAAATGACCAAAATAAAAAACGTATTTTGAAAATCAGTTTCAAAGGGTTGGAATAGGAGTATCAAATAGATGGCTAATATCTGTCTTTCCTAGCTGACACCCATGTTAGACATCACCAATCAATCAAGTACTTTTCCTTATTAAATCCAAAACCAGCACAAAGTCCTTTTCTACCACCACATTTGATGAGCTCTAAATATGTGGAGCATTTTTTTTTACTTCCTTGGCTAAAATAAGTAGGTAAACTGAAAATACCTATATTTTATTCCAGCCTAATCTGGAATAAAATATCATAGTTATGTGTTCCACACAGGACAAATAAACACATGATTTCTCATGCAGACAAGACCTTAGAAGATCACCTGGCTCTTGCTATGATACATAGTGTACTTATTTTACATTTATGTCTTTGAATAGGAGGATCCAGAAATCAGTTAACTGCTACAATGTTTATAATACATGAGTTACATTCATTCAAACCATCCTACTTTCTGTTCAAGGTAATTCAAAGTTCCACATTGAGTAAATGTTCTTTAGAGAGACTAGCTGAGTTCCAAAGTATGTTAAAAATTAAATGTAGCATTTAACAAAAAGGATCATATATCAGTATGCTTGATTTCCATTAGTGGCACTGTATATTTTCTTATACAGAGATCCTGGACCACATCTCTACACAAATATTTAGTGTCCTGGCAAATGACAGTACAGAAATCACAAGGACATGTGGCTGCTGCTGGGTTTCACTTGAAGAAGAAAATCATTATAATTCATTTATCTTGGGTTTCCATGACAGCCATTCTTGTTCCTTTGGCCTTTATTGCCACTTGCCAAGTTAGACTGGGTAGAATCCCATTTAAGATCATCTCTAGGGTGATACCTGGTTCATTAGGTTTATTTCATCACATTGACAGCCCCTGTGATCAACAATATGATCAGAGAGAGCAGACTCACCTCATCATAGATGCTGTCATTCCTGTGAAAGTCTCCGGCCCTCCTGGGAAGAATGTGGACATGAACGTGCTGAAAACGTGCAAGAAAGAAAAAATAAAATGTGATTATCTCCTCATACATTTTTAGACTTGACAGTGATGCTCTCATGAAGCACAATTACTTCACATTGGTTCCTGCTGGATTATTTTTCAGAGGAAGATGATGTTCACCTTCAGTAACTATATCTGAAATCTACTGAGAATAGAGAGGCACAAAACAAGAGTGAACAACTTGGTGGCATATATGAGTCTGAGTGAAATGCCAGAGTATTTTAGAGGCTCCTGTGGAATTATTCATACTTGTCAGTCTTGGTTGTATTTAGCCAGTGCTTTGAAATGACAGTGTGTCTTAAAAGATGGCCATCATGACTCCGAAACTGACAAAAGATAAGAATTGGCTTACAGAGAACTGCATAAAAGCAAATGAATGAGAGGAGGAAGAAGTAAGGACCAAATTACAGAATCAGGGCTTGAATAATAATTGTATAATAGTAATATAAACAGTTCTGATTTATTAAGTTTTTATTTACTATGATAAGCACAGTTTTGTGTCTGGTATTGTTCATTTAATATTCCTTAAAATGGTCTTTATTTTATAGATGAGGAAATCAATGCTCAGAGAAGTCATGGCTCCACAGGAAGTGGTAGAGTTAGCACAGGAAGTGAGGTTACCTGGTCCTTGCCCCCTTGTTCTTCATCAGTACATGTACTGATTCTCTGAACTTAATCTTTTAAACAGCCTATTTATCTAGTCTACTAAAGCACCCTGGTAATATACATAGCAATGCTATTATGCAGAGATTGTGAATCAAGGCTCACAGTATATTTAATTCAATATATTCTTCAAGGCTAAAATGCCATTTGAAAGTTTTACTTTCCCAGTGGCAGCTATTGTATCTTGGCTAATGTTAAACCTACTCCTGCCCTTGAGCTATGTTCCCGCGTTAATTACAAACCATGGAGAAGAAAATGAAAATGAAAAACCTAAATGTGGAGAGGCACGCAAAGAACTTCATACCTGATCACATCCATCCCTTCTTGATACAGTGATTGGGCCACAAACCTCCAACAGATCTCTAGAGGATGTAAGATTAAGAGTCCTTGGGGCTTTGTGTACAAGGAAGGGAAAATGATATGCTATTAAAGTAGAGACACAGAGCAGGGCGGTCCAAGGTGAATCAAACAGAGAGTGATATGTTTTTGCTAGAATATCCTCTAGGCAATGATGAAGTCATTCGCAGATCCCTCAGCAACTAGAACAAATGTGTACCTGAGTCACAAAGACTATATGAGGAAAAAGGATTTTTAAAAAAAAGGAAAAATAAGTCACAAACTACTCAGGAACCAAATTCTTAGAAGAAAGCCATGTAGCATGGGCCCTGGTCAAAATTGGTTGAGGCCCATAGACTGGATGACTTAAAAGGAAAGATAGGGAAAATGCCCTAGAACAAGGAGATAGACCACCTTCAGAAAAAGCCTTTATCCAATCTTTACTTCCAAATCCTACTGCTATCCTTTTTCTTTTCTTCCTTTCTTTCATTCTTCCTTTTCTCTTTTCTTCCTCCAGATCCTCCTTTTTTCTCCTCTTCCTTCTCCCATCCTCCTATTATCCATTCTCCATCATCTCCCTTATACTTTCTAGTAATCAAATATTCGAGATCAGTGTTCTGCAGCCAAACTGCCTAAGGGCACTGACCACATAATAGGTTTTTTTTTTTTTTTTAACCAGGAAGTGCCATATGTATAGTATAGGTAGCCCTACCACTTACTATCCATGTGACCTTACACAGAAGGCCTATGTCTCAGCATCTTTGTCTATAATGGGGATTGCATTAGCTTCTGTTTCACAAGATTGTTAAGAGGATCAACCTGCAGAGCAGGTATTTACTAAGCTGCTTAGCACATTGTTAGTACTCAGTACATGTAGCTGCAGTGGGATTGTTCTTACTATTTTTTTTTTAAACCGAAGACCAAGTAGAGCTCAATTCAGGGTTTACTTCTCACATTAACAGAAAAGATATCTAAGAAACTTTTTGAATGGAGCATTGTTTAAAGCACCTCTTTTGTCAAGGTTTGTTTCTGTTGCTTTGACTAGCAGTTCTCAAACTTCAGCATGTACCTAGAGATTGTTAAACTACAGGTAATCAGGGTCCCCCAGTTTGTCCCCAGGTGATGCTGGTACTATGGTCAAGATGATGGTACTACTTTGAGAACCACTGGCTAAAATCATCCATCTGGTTCTTAATCCTACTCCTGACAAGTGTACCAATATGGGCACCAAGGTCACTCCACTGTTTTGTCTAACCTACTGCATTATATGGAGAGCTATTTCTGAATGCGAACCTGGCTTTCTCCATTCTGACCACTGTCCTTACTTGACCTTAGCAGTATGTCAGTTACTATCCACTACTAACATATGGCTGGCTGTGAATTTATATTGGGGGAACCTCCCTGGTCTGGGCCTATCTCCTGCCTCCTTTTCTTTACCTTGCTCCTCTGAATTTAATGGTCAGACCTATCTCTATAGGCTCTGTTACTACCCAATCCTGAAAATGCCATTCTCAATCACTTGTAACCATTTGAAACTCACCATGACACTAAAGACAGTAAACAGCTTGGTGCATAGGTGATTTCCCCCCAAGGGCACAGATCTCAACGTAGCCTGATATGTTGACATAAATTCTTAAGTAACGGCCCAAACCTGACAATCCACACAGCTTCTCAGAATAGGACAACCATGACACAGTCATGTCAAAGCTTCACTGTTGTGAGGAATAGCATCACCATTCTATTCCCAGAGAATAGAATTCTGATTTAAAACCCTATGAATGGCAGAGATCAAGACAATTTGATATAACCTGTTCATAACAATTTCATATTAAATAGTGGTGATTACAACTTATTAGCACTTAGTGCTAATAGAACATCCATTCAATAAAGCAGTGGGATTGCAGTAAGCTGCTTGAGTTAGAAGAGTATTTTAGAAGTCCTATGATACTTCCATACAAAAATATTTTCAGTCAAATAAAATTTCAGAATGCTCATTAGCACACTAAAGTATCTGAGAGGTCCCATATAAAAGATACTTTTTATCTAACACAACAATCAAGAAATTTACTTGACTATGGAGTCCTAGTTTTTACCCCTGTGACATTTACATACATCAAAAAGCATTCATTTATTCTTTCAAAAATGTTTGGCAGATGCTTGCCTTGGAACCAGAAATACAGTGATGACTAAGACAAAGTTCCTGCCCCCATAGAGCTTATATTCCAAAAAAGCAATATGAAAAATAAAGAAGTCAACTAATAATTTAATTTTAAACAGAAATAAGTCATGAATAAAAATAGAGTGGGGCAGAGCTAAAGACCAAGCGTTGGAACACTCCAACATTTGAAGCTCAGGAGGATAAGTAGGACTTAGCTTATAAACACAGGGAGGAAGTAAACAAGTCAAGAGATCAGAACCTTCACCAGCCTATGGAAGAAAGAATTTAAAGAAGGGAATTGTCAACAGAATTGAACAAAGTTGAATGAATGAGTTGGTTTCAGTGAGGTTGGGGAAACAAAACTGCAAAGGTCCTGAAAAGACACTCAACATTTTAATCATTAGTGAAACACAAACCAAAACCACACTGAGATACCACTTCCTACCCACTAGGAGTTCTATAATCAAAAAGATGGACAATAACAAGTGTCGGTGAAGATGTTGGAGAATTGGAAGCATCAAGACTACTAGCAGGGATGAAAAACAATGAAGCTGCTTTGGAGAATAGCTCAGAATTTCCCCCAAATCTAAAGATACAGCTAACATATGACTCAGAACTCTAAACCTCATATATACCCAAGAGAACAGAAAACATATGTACACAAAGACTTCTGTGTGAGTATTTAAAGCAATATTATTCGTGATCATAAAAAAGCAGAAACAATCAAAATGATCATCAACTGATAAGGGGATAAACAAAATGTGGCATATCAATACAATAGAATATGTTTTGGCATAAAAACAAATGAAGTATGCTAAATGAAGGAATTCAGATACAAAGGGCCATAGGTAACTCTATTTATGACATATCTAGACTAGGCAAATTCACAGAATAGGAAAGATTAGTTATTTCTAGAGAAGAATAAGCCATGTGCTCATGGGCACAGAGTTTCTTTTGGGTATGATGAATATTTTCTGGAATTATCTAATGGTGATGGTCGCACAACTTTATGAATAAAAAATAAAAAACCCTGAGTTGTACATTTAATGAGTTATTAATTTTATGATATGTGAATTATATCTCAATAAAGTAGTTATTTAAAAATCCTTACATTTACTTAGGTTTCAATGCAATTGGGAGGAGAAGAGAGAGAGATGGCAAACACTGACATCACTTTTTATCCCCTGCCTCTTTTGCAAGGCCTATGCTTTTCCTTTCATCCTTTGAACATGTGTATTTTACCCATATAGTCACCTGAGGGTGGTCTGTATAGTCATATTAATACATTTTATCTTTGTCAGAATATATTGGAATTCAATTACAGGGGATAAAATTATGGTGAAAGAAGGGCAGGGAAGGCTGCAGGGCTATCCTGCTCTACAACCCATGACCTGCAACCAGGTGCTCCTGTAGGAGCATCTCTCTCCCACATCTGCCCATGAGCAACTTCAGAGGAAAATCTGGCCTTAAAGAACAATCAAAACAACGCTGCACAAGGCAGAAAATAGCCCCTCTCAAAGATGTTCACGTTCTAATCCCTGACCTGACCATATGGTAGGCAAAATGGTGAATAAGAATTAAGGTTAGAGATGAAGGAAAATTATTTACCAGATTACCTTAAAACTAAGAGTATCTTGTACTATGTAGGTTGGCCCGATGTTGTCACGAGAATTCTTAAAAATAGAAGAGGGTGAATGAAGATTATCAAAATTTTAAACTTTGTGCCTCAAAAGACATAAACAAGAACATGAAAAGTCAAACCTACAAACTTGGAGGTCATTTTTGCAAATCATGTATCTGATAAGGGACTTATATCTAGAATA